GTTGTTGAGTGAACCAAGAATCACACATTTCTCCATCAGTTCTCAACCATTTGCCATCGGGTTCTTTGCGATAAATTTCTCTCAATCGCCTCTCTATTTCATATTATTACTCCAACTCATGATTCTGCATGCACACAGCTCCAGAAGTGGATTGTGAATTAAGGAAATCATTACTTGAACATTTGAATTGAAAGTGAATTGTCAGGACATCTCAGTGTTGGAGAATGGATATCTGTTCCCATCAGTATAGAGTTTAACAGCCTATACTGGCATGGTCAAACAGGTGAGTTGTGTAATGGTAGCACACTGAGAGGTCCTGGTTTCGATGCCAGGCTTGTCCATGATATTATGTCCTTGTCTTGTGACCTGAACTGTATCATTCAGTTGGATCTCACAGAGTAAGTCCTGCAGGGCAACGTGAAATTTCTTCACTCAGGACATCCTAGGATGTTCCCATACAAAAGAGGCCTCTAGGCCCTCTTCAAACCTCCTGAGAGCCCCCCTCTATAGGTCTAGATATCAGTTGTCCAAGGTGGACCTAACACCTACAGATGCACCAGCTTTCCCAGCCACTGGATGGTCTGTATTACTGTACTAGCACGACCAACAACCAGTTCCCATGGCCTCCGGGAATTGCCAGAGGCTGCCAATCAATTCAGTTGTATTAATTTTCAATTCAATCCAAGACCCTCGCGTTACACATTACTGGTTGTTGGTCATGCTAGTACAGTATTCTGGTACTGTCTACCTGCTGCACACATGACACTCCTGGAGGCCCTCCACCATTCCCTACTAGGGAATGGTGGAGTATTCGACAGCATCATTACCAAGTCTAGAGGATCACCTACTACATCCTATCCCAGCTTGTGAATCACATCGGATCCCCATAGATACAGTATTACCACATGGTGCAAAGCAGATGCTGTTCCTCAGTTTTGGGAAACACCATTGTTGCACCAAGCGGCTCAATGGGCCACAACATTGATCATTGAGATTGTTCCTGTTGGGAGCATGTTCTCCTTCATGTGGAACTTCTTTGTTTTGATGCTATTCCAATTCATTATCCGCCTTCACACCATGTGCGCAGCCAAGTTTTTCAGCTGAGCCGTATCACCTTTTATTCAGTATGGTTTCTGTATGACAAGTTCCAACGCTGTCATCCTGCTGCTTCTTTGGGTGCATAGGTTGGCCCAGGAAGCGAAGTGGTGCCTCCCTCTGTCCAAAGCTTCCTTCCTTGCATCTTCACCATTGCCAGCACTGGCCCTCCATCCAGGAGACATTTCAGTCAGGGTAATTCACAATCTGAACAAACCAAATAGGGGGGGCTATTTCCCCTTTCTCCTTAATGATGATGACACTGGGATTTTTGTTCCCATCACTTCATTCTGTGGATTTCTGGCTCATCAGACAGTGGGAGCGGAACTCTCAGGTAGGGAAAAACAGTTGAGATGAAAGAGGGCCTCGTGCGACATTCCCAAACATGGAAGGCCTGTTAGAACTGGGCAAGGGTGGACGATTCTGGAGGGGAACTGGAGACTTAGCAAGGAGGGACCTTGGCCTCAGCAACTCATGCAGAGTGCTGTGCCATTGCTGTTTGTCCATTTGGTCCTTAATTTCAGAGGCAGTGAGCAGGAAGTCTCCAGGGGGCATTTCAGGTCGATTTCAGACTGAAGGTTCAAAACAAGTATGTACAAGTGCCTGTATATAATAGGGAGATGAAAGCACAAGGAAATCAAAGGGGGGTCCAAATCAGAACAAAGGCATCTGAACGGGAACAAAGGGATGACAGAAGCGGAGCAGCACCGAAAGGTCATAGGTTAGAACCTGTGGTACATCTGAAAGGAGATAGGGAGGGTGAGGCCCAGAGGGGCAGGAGGATGAGGTGAAGTGAGGATGATGACTAACTGGCTAGAATGGAGAGAAGCAGCAGTCCAAATAAGGATGAGGGGAAAGTGCAAAAGATACATTACAAGTGGCAAAAGTGCTGAGTATGATCTGTGGAGCTTGGAGGTTGCGGAGCTTATGGAGGCAGGGTTGAAAGTCTGAGGAATGTTGGCAATGGTGTTTACGTAGTATGAGGTCACCAATGCAATGGACTTAAGCCAAGGTGGGGTCAAAGTCTGAGGTTGGAACTATGATAGAATCTTGGGGTGAAGGTACAAGCAGTGTCCAAGTACAGGGTACGGGACAGTGGCAGAAGGTTGTAACTTGCCAGAGGTTTGGTGGGAGAGGGGAGGAGGGAGGAGAGTGATGGGAGGAGTGGGGAGAGGAGTGGAGGAGGAATGGTGTCAGGTCCAAAGGTGAGTCTCAGATGGATGGAAGTAGGGTAGGAGAGTGACGGAAGGGTGGAGGTGTCATGAGGAGTGAGGAGGAGTAAGAGGAGTATGGCAAGAGGAGTGATGTTCGGTCTGAAGGTGGATATTGGAGCAGACAGAAGTAGGGTAGGATTCTGGAGGTGATGAAGATGAGGGTCCGGGAGTGAAAGGTTGCTTACTTATTTGGGGACGGTAACGTTCCGTTCCCCTGTTCGCCTCAGGCCTCAGTCAGTCCATCTGAATATAAGCTTAAATGTGCTGTATATTCAATGGGGTAGAGGTAAAAGGCTACCAGGCCTTTACAACTACTCCGAGGTATATATATGTAATTTACATATCTCAGCACAAATAAATAAAGAAAGAACAGCATCACTATAATCGGAATTATAGCGATGCAACATAATATAAATATCACTATAATCAGAATTATAGTGAAGTAAGGTTAATCCCTTACAGGGAGTCGGATTGGGATTGGGTATGTATGGATATGACAAGGCCCTTCAAGTACGCATGTGGACAGTGGGGTGGGTGAGTTGTAGCCTAAGCCATTCCCATTCCCCCTTTTTTTTTACTCATATCAGTTTTTGGTGATGTACTCAGTCATTCTAACTATTTTCCCTTGGGCTCATAATCCCACTCAACTCAATGCTGTTCAGTTTGTAGAGTGGGTTTATCTCAAGACTGCTTCTTGTTGGAAATGTGAGTCACCGGAGATATCTGGGGTGCATGTGGAGGATAATGTGGAGGATTTTACTAAGTGCACAGCCTGCACAGGAGTTGCCTTATGTAGATTTTCATTCCTTTGTATATAGACATTATCCCCAAATCACTATGGTTTGGGATGAAACTTCCTTGCACATTTTTACTGAGTTAACCAATGCAGAAAACTTGATTCAAATTAAAATCCTACTAGTAAACATGGCAATAAAATGTTATTTTATGAAGTTTCAAAAATTTGGGGGGTGGCCAAATGTCTGAGGAGAAAAAAGTTGGAATAATTGGTGAATGGAGGATAGACACAGCATGTTAGATTCGGATGACTCTAGAATGGAATCAGAGACTTAGCGTGGAAGGACCTTGGCCTCAGCAACTCATGCAGAGTGCTGTGCTGGTTGTCCTGGGGGTCCCTAATTTCGGATCTAGCAGAGGGGAAGTCTCTTAGGGGGGAATCAAGTTGATTTTGGACTGAGGTTACAAGTTACTATGTACATTGTATATAAGGAGGGGTCCGGAATCAAAAGGAGCAAGGGTACTCCAAAAGGAGACAAAGGGAGCTGGAATGAGGAACAACACCAAGGGTCAAGGGTTTGACTCAATGGTGTTTCCCAAAGGAGGAGTGAAGGGCCAAGGCCCAAGGAGGAAGGTGTCAGGGCACGCCTTCAGGTCGCTAGCGTAAGTAGCGCATTGCCACATGACCCATATCTCCATCAGCTTCTACTTCTTTTCTTCTTCTTCATCTCCGATCTGATCCGATCTGCAGCTGTCAGTTATGATGCCACATGATCTTCTATCATTCTTGATCCGATACTACCAGTTATTAGCTAGTTGACTAGTTACCACCTCTACTGTGTATATATGACCGTGTGCTGGGATGGGCATGTCCCCCAGCTTTGATATCAATTAGGTTTCTGGGGCATCCTTCATTGCGAGCACACATGACCCTGACAGAAGGAAGGAGGATGGGAGTTGGGAATGGCTAGCTGACTGAATAGAAAGGAAGCAGCAGCCCAAATAGGAATGAGGGAGTATAGCGGAATTGAATGGGACAATGCAATAGTTGCAAGGTCCAAAGTAAGTCCAGAAAGTCTGGACTTGGAAGTTAAACTCCGGAATATTGGCAAAGGTAATTAAATGGAATGAGCTAACCAATACAATGGGTATAAGCGGAGGTGGGGTCAAAGTCGGAGGTTGGAGCTAAGACCGGAGGTTCCAGAGACGGAGATGCAAATGGGATTCCGGAGCAGAGGTCCAGAGTTGGGAGCATAGGTGTTGTGTACTCGTCTGAAAGGTGTCAAGGTTGGGGTCGGGCCCGGAATGTTCTGGAGTTGGACCAAAGGTGGTGTTGGAGCCAGAGGTGGGATAACCTCTTGGGGCAATTAATTACATCTGTTGCACGATCTGTGGGTGAGTCCATGGTGTAAAAGACAGTGAAGGAGCGGGGGGCGGGTTTGGCGCTTCTAGGAGATTCCTTTTTGAGACCCAAGAGTTGTTTCGGGGTTTGCCGGTGGGCACTGCCACTGCCATAGTGAACCAGTTGTCGTAGCGAAGTGTCACGCACTGGTTTTCGGAGTAGATGATCGGACATGAACTCTTTAACCCCGTTACATGTGACTTATTATTTGTATTAATAACTGTATTGGGTTGGTCTGTATTGATTGTGGATTTGTCCGGATAACATGATTTCTGAATTGTAATACAAAGGGGTACTTCATCGCGAAAATCGGCTCAATGGCTCAATACACTCTGTGCCACTCTAGACCACTCCAGAGCCTGGGAGCACTGAAAAGTGATCTGAGAAAGGTCCCCTGGTTTAGACGTGCTCGGACCTGCCCTTGTACTCTGGAGACCTTCGGAGCACTGGGGAGCAACCTGGAACATGACTGATTACACCAGAATTGACCAATTGTCGGCGCTAGTAGTATACTCGATTTCATTGACTATCATATATTGTATATAACAGAATGGTTAATCATCGTCGTGGAGCACACGTGCTATGGTAGCATCTCTGCATTCTGTATATTCACAACGAGTTCTAGAAGGACACTCCGTGAAATCAGTAATCGTGAAATAATTGTCAAGGCGTTCACCTACGCTACTGCCTTGAGAAGATCATCAGAAACTTCCCTCCAGTTGTCAGGGGAACGTTTGCCCCATTCGTGGATCCACTTGAGGTGTCCAGCAAAGCGTCCGGAAAAGCTTTCACTTGAAAAGGCTATGACGGTGCGGCTTCCCCCTACCCACTCCCTCAGTGCACATTCGATCTACCATTAGAGGCTTGAATAAATGACCAAGGCAGCGCACAGTGGCTTACCGTTATGAGTGCAAATGCCACTAGCTCTGGAGAAATTGCTGTAAAAAGTCCTGTGTGACGATGAATAGTCTCTTTTGGCCGCTTTTGTGAGGAGGTGAAGTAACTAAGTATTGTTGCCTTGATGCAAGGTGCATGAAGAGCCCCTGATCGTTGCTTGTTGATGCAAAACTACCAAAAAAATGTCACCATATTGTGTGGCTAATATTAGAGAACTTGAACTCACATTCACTGTTTCATACGAGAGGAAGCTAAAATTCTCCTCAAACAGCGCAGCCTCGATGATGTGCGCAATATGTCTTGCATCGGCCATAGAGTCAAGCTTGTAATAGCTGCTGAGGCTGCAGCCTTGAATCGACTTCGGAAACTTGACGCTGTACCGAGAATCTGCTACACACATTAGAGTGACAGGATAAACATTGAGATGAAGACTGACTGTTATGGAAATGGGAATTTCCCATTTTAGACTCTTATGGGTTCTGTATCACATGATTTGTATAGTAATTGAGTTTAACCAATCAATAATCAACCAAAAACCCGAGAGTATGTCTCTGTGAAAACATCTATAACAACACCTGCCAGATCTATTGTAAAATCATATGAGCTCAACTTCTACCCATTTCCACTTTCCTGTGCCAAGAACGGACGAAAATGGGCGCCTCCGGCCCCATTTTTGTAACACTGACTGTTTTGAGATGGTCCGCCATTGGTCCCACCTCATCTTGGCTATGGTATGCAAGTGCATCGCTAAATGTGTCAACAGCAAACTCCTCATTTTGGCTTGTTGGTGGAAAGGGATTGATGGACATTAGGCACACTCCATAATAATCAGCTGCGCTCTGAAGGACATTATAGATAAGACTATCTTTGTTGTCCTTCCATGAAGAAAGCGTCTTCTTGTTACGGCTAGGTGGGGCTTTGGGCTCATTAGAGTCCACGTGGTTGGGTAAATGGTCATCCGGGGAAGATGTGCGGGCACTGGGAGTGGTATCATGCTTGGGTGGGGCATGGATGCCCTGGAAACCGTACTTAAATCAACTGAAAATCAGAGAGACTAGTTGGGGACATACCAACACATAGCGGTCACCATCATGGATCAAGGGTTCACGTTTCTGAGTCTTCGGAGTCTAATAGAAGTACATGGGGTATGATGACAGTTATAATGAGGGGAACACAGGACTTACATGGCGTGCACGTTTGGCCAACAGTGGTGGAGCAGAGACATCGAGAGAATCTCGCTCTGAGGAATAGGAACAACGCCTTTTGATTCCGCTTGGAATAAGCTGGTTTTCATCTGAATCGTCTGATGGGCTAGTGTTCCCCAAATCCTCAGTGGCCTGCTCATCAGTGGTAACGGACATCTAGGGGTTCCAGTCAGTTAAGCCTAATATAGGAGTCTGAAGAAATAAAAAAAACTTTGTTGCCACGCATCCATAAAAAATCAGAGTGAACCTGCACAGATTTTTGTCTTGCATCCTTCAAAGTACGAGGGTACTGGGGCCCTTCATTGTCTTCATTGTCCTTCCCTTCAATTGATTGCTCATGTTCAAGGTCTGAAGCACTGAGTTCAAATTCCGAGTCTGGGGTGTCGTTGTGGTGCATCAGTGCAAAAAAAAAACAGTAAAAACAATAGGACAACTTGCCTTCTTCACGACGCTGGGAGCTCTGGCTCTCCTTTGATCGAATATTATTGATTTGTGTGGCATGATGTCCTATGCCCATTACTCAGAATCAGAAAACACGAAAAAAAAGCGTGAAATCTAACCTTTTTTCCCCTTGGCTTTCTCCTTCCTCCTCTAGACATCGAATGTCAAGCTAGTCTCTAATCGCATTTTGAGAAATATTTGACACACATTTGAATCATTGCCATGAAGCGAAAAGTTGTTGATTCCCAACTGTTGTAGCAATTCATTGTTGCGTCGAATATTTTTCTGGCGCTCCTCCTCATAATCAATCTCATCACCCATCACGGAGCCATTTGTACTATTGTCTTGGATAGTGTGAAAGCCACCGGACGATGGGGACATGTCACCATCATCACTTTTTCTGCCGTCATCCTCCAAGTCATCCCTCAGGCTTGCCATCCGCTTGTGAGGTGCTACAGCATGATTGGGTACCTTCCGAGTCTTCTGTCCATTTGACTTTTCGATGCTTTGTTGGCTTGACTATTAATAGTGGATGTAAGCCTGAATGAGTCCCGGGGATGAATACAGGGTAGCCAAACCTTCACAGGTACCAGACGGCCTCTGGGGGGCTTTGGAGTGGATTCGGCCAAGGCTAGTGCCTTCTGGCTTGGTTTACTGACCCGTTTGTGCAGTGTAGACCTAAGTATAGCCTATGAGGGATGAGTGTAAGCAGTGCAGTATGACTTACATGGTGTGACGAAGAGAAGCTGTTTCAAGTTTGATGATTAATTAATAATTCCGTGTTTGACTTTTCATCCGAAAAATATCGCACCTCTTCTAGCCCTCTGACTGGCATGAAATCCTCATCGCACTTCTGCCCATACTGTAAAGAAGGTCCGTTTAGGACATCTAAAGGACAGAAATCTCACATTAGCCAGAAACAACCGTGTAAAGTTGCCCATCAGCTTGCCACCGCAGTGAGGCACAGAGACAAAAATGGTCAAATACCGTGGTCTGGTGCTTCTCCATCTCAGTCTAGTGGAGTTGAGCAATTTCAAGATAATGCCGATGATAATCATGACCAAGGAGACGCACTGAGCCCACAGAGTGATACCCAACAACAATACATAGTCGAAAAAATCCTGGGTGCTTCGGCCATTCTTAGAAATCCAGCTAGTGCTGCAACTGGGGAGGCTCCATTGACTAAGCAGTGGGAAGCATTGCATGCTATCGAGGACCCGGAGCGTCCATTTTCTCCCTGGGAGTCATTGAAAGAGTCCAAACTCATAGAATGGCTAGCTGAAAGGTATCCTACTAGTTTGGGGACGGTAACATTCCGTTCCCCCGTTCGCCTCAGGCCTCAGTAGTCCGTCTAAGTATACGCTTGATTTGGCTGTATATTAACGGGGTAGAAGTAAAGGCTCATCCGCCTTTTACAGCTACCCCGAGGGTTTATATACAATCTTATACATTCTCGGCACAAATAAATAGAGAAGCTTCCGCAACGCTAAATTAGCATCGCGACATAATTATTACACAACACAACATCAACTGATGTTGTGGGCGGAATATAGACATGGGCCGGGGCCTCACATCCTCCTCCCTTGCGATACTAGATCGCAGACAGGGTACTAGCATATATACACAAGGGGAAAGCAAGCATTTTAAAGAAATAAAATTTTTTAACGTTCTACATATGAAGGATGTATGCAAACGGGGGCACACTCATTGCAGGAGGCTATAATAGTATTTTGTAGGCGAAGCCCACTTAGAGTTTCTCCTGGAACATATGCACCCAGATCTCGACGACAGTGTTGTCGATGATGGAACGACTTTCTCGTCGTTGTGAGTTTATTAAATACCATCGTCCACCGTGACGATGTTGACAGTGTAGGTCGTCGACAGCAGAGTTGTCACTGACGAAGAAAATGAATAATCAACGACGTTTGCATTGACGAAGGATGAAGGGTACAGAATAGACAATCAACGACGGCATTGTCGTTGACGAAGGTATGGATGTGAGGGGGTCAGTTCCTCATTCGTTTACGCGGCACTGACCTGGACGGGCCAGAGCCGGATGGGCAATTTGACGTAGTCCTACGAGTCGTTGTGGACCTAGCTGCGTCGACAGCGACATCGTCACTCAGATAGTTGTCGTTGTAGTGACGAGTCTCGACGTCAGCGTCGTTCATGGACGAATCCTCATCTTGACGACGGTGCAAGTAATGGACATGGTGCGTGGGATGGCCACGTCCATGAGAAGAGGGAGCATGCCCTCGCACTGGTGGTGCGTGGGCGGATTCGTACACCGACGAGTGTGCATACGTTGGAGGGGGGTAATGCGGCGGAGGTGGGGCGTTTGAATACGCCACAGGGTGTGGGCTCGCGTACATCATAGGCAGGTTTGAGTACGATGTTGAGGGAGGGTTCGAGTACATAAGTGCTCGTTCCTGGCGTTGAATTTTACGACGCTCACGAGCGTCGTCAGTCATTGGTTTTATCCATCGACACGCGAGGATGTACATCCGTGCAATACGAGCCGGGGGGTACTGGTCGGGAAGTCTTTTCGCCTCCGTCTCAATGTCGTCGCGCGACATACACATTCGTGAGGCACGGTTGTTTGTAGCCACCCTGTACCAGTTGGTACAGGTGTCGACGTCCTCTTGCGAGGGCTTGCCTGTCTTGAACGACCAGGCAAGATGGTACATTGTAGCATAGAACCTCACACCTTCTTCGGTGTGTATGTAGTTACGAAACAACTCGAACCACTTAGGTTCTTTGTCGCAGACGAGCGCAGCCGCATCTGGGAATTCGATTCTATCAACATGGTCGATGTCGTAGAAGTGGGTAGGAAGGGCCACCGATCGACAATATGTCGGTGGGGGTAGGGGTTCGCCATGCACTTCAGTGAGTTTGGCATCGTAGTACTCGTAGTAATGGTAGCCGGGTGGACGGTTCGCGACGAATTCTTCGAATGGGGCATTAGGGTCGATGACCCATTCGCCTTCCATCTCGTCATCGTCGGACGTGGGAGCCCATCTCTTGGAAGAGGTGGTTTTCTTCGACGGCGCAGACTTGGCTGACGCAGGATCCACCAGGCCAACCCCGGGGATAACGATGGTTTGGGGAACAGTGGGCCGTGACGACAAGGGAGCAGAAGATTGGATCGGGGTGGGTTTGGGAGACGCAGGGCATCCCCTTGCCGTGTGCGCAACTCTAAAGACGTCCTCGTTAAGTTCGTCGTTGGCCTTTCGGAGGGATTCGACCTGTCGGTGAAGATGGTCGTTTTCAGAACGCAGGTCGTCGGCCTCGTTCTGCAGCATCTCATGCTTATTCTTGAGCTCATCGAGTTCGTCATTCCTATGCTCGTCTCCGAACGTAGTCTCTTTACGTTTCTCGAGTTTCTTCTCGATACGGGCCCACACGACTTCAGTAATCATTTCGAGTTGATCGAGCCCTGTCTGCGTGGAACGCAGTAGGTGGGGGTATTTCTCACTCGCGCTTACGCGAGTGGGCAGGACCAAATGGTCCTGTTTTGGGGTTAAAACACCCATGCTGGGCGCTTCAGGGGTGACAGTCTGAGCGACTGTGGAGTTGTCGTCCATCGACGACATGGCAGCATCCATGGTGGGACTTACAGGTGGGGAGTTTGGACTGGAGTCTACGAGGGCCTCCTTGATGGGGGAAA